AGTTATTGCTTGGGAATTTGGCTTGTAAAATAGAGGTAAATAGATTTTTATTTTCATTTATTCAAGGTGACTTGTTTATTTTAAATAACACAGTTGTTTTGAGCAATAAGTTTAAACATCATTTCCAAGAAAGCATGTGACTTGAGCTAGAGAGATAGTAGGAACTGCCAATGCTGGAGATTCTGAGATAACAAGGTGTAGAGCTGGATGAACACAGCAGGCCAAGCAGCATCAGAGGAGCAGGAAAGCTGATGTTTCGGGACGGGACCCTTCTTCAGACTTGAGCTAAATGACTGGATCAGCTACCTGGGATGTTAATTACTGAATAATTATCAAGTTGAGCTTTTATAACCTTTAGAGAAACAGATGACTAGGGACCAACACAGGTTGATTTCAGAAGAGTCGTCTTCCTTGCTAAGGGTCATTTATTTTTAACTTGTATGAGCTTCTTGGCTGTGAGAGTCAGTATAATTGGAAAGGCTTTGAAGCTACTTCAGCATTCCAAGGAGAAAAGCGAGAAAGTCATTGGAGTAAGAAAGTAGAGTTAAGATAAAAGTGATACTTAACTGAGACTGAGTGACTGTAAAGGATTGACTCTATCTTCATGCTATTTATGTTAAAATCATTCTAAATTTTTTCACTTATATAAGATAGCTTTGATGTTTTTATTTTGCATAATAAACTTATGTTTCTTAAAAAAATTTGAAATATTTACACAAGACTGCCAATAACTAACCACCATAGTAACCACAAAAACAAAACAAAACTCCCGCCTCCAACACACCCCCTCCTCCTGGACACCACCCCAAGGCCTCCTACCCTCCCTCGACCTCTTCATCTCCAACTGTCGTCGTGGCAGTTCCTACTATATCTTATGATTTGTGATGCCAGCTTTTATTGTGAGTCCTGACCTGTTCAGTATTGCTATCAAGATCATAACAACCTGAAAACAAAGTCAATGACTGGCTCCAAGGGCTAGCATCTAAGCATGTGGCTGATGATATTGGTGAGAAACTTCACAGTTGATGTCAAGGAAATGTACAGACAAAGCCACAAAGTGGTCCTAAAACAACTACTGGGCTGCTGAAGATACAATTCAAGTGCCTGGCAAGATCTTCGGGCATCCTTCATCTGTACAAGTAAACATCATCTCAATGTAGTGATCTGCATGTTATTGTGTAATATAGCACACCAATGAGAACAAAAGCTGCAGCAGGAGGAAGGTTATGACTACTTTACATCATTAGAGGAGGAGAAAAAGAACAGAGCAGTGGAAGGACAAGGAGCCTGATGTGCTTACACCTGAGTCTTCAGTGGAGATGCTTCCCTTCAGTAGAGGTGTTCTTGAGTTGTTTGTGGCCCACTTCCTCTAAGTTCTGTGATGAGTGAAGACCTGAGCAAAGACTGCCCCTTCTAGACCTGTGCATGAGAAGACTTGGCAATCAAAAAAGGATGTAGCATGTGGGCTCTGCCTGGAGTTGGAGAAACAGTGGTGAGATAGAGTGCCAAAGGAGAAGTAGGAATGGGAGACCCTTGAACAAAGATCCTATTTCCAAATGTCCTTTCTCTATCCTTCCTCTCAGAAGCTAGATAGAAGTAAATAGCAGTGGCAATATGAGAGTACATTGAGAGAGGGGAGTGGGTGGAATGTTGACATTATGTTAGCCTAAGAAGTTCTGTTCAGGAGAATGCAGGAAAATTTTGAGTATGGAATTGGCACTTGAATCCATTCACTCCATTTGAATCTGAGGAATCCAGAAATGAGATGCTCATGTCTGGCTACACTGTAAGTCACAGCAAAGTCCACTCAAGCAACTTTCAGGTTCCTAATTCAGCACCAGCCTTCCCCATTGTAAGTAAGTCTAAGTGTTATTGATTTTCAGTTTCATGACTCAATTTAAGATTATTGCTTTCAATGTCATTGATCCTTCTAAAAGCCATACCAGAGTTCGGAACGATCTAACTGACAGCCGAGCAGAACTATTTAGTTTCTTTGTTCCGGTTCAATCAGTTTCATGTCAAAATTCCATCATCCACAGCACACTTCTCTTTCTCTGAAAGCATGAACTACGAAAAGAAACTAGCAGAAAACATAAGCACTGATAACAATAGCTTCTGTGTGTATATAAAAAGGAAAAGAACAGTGAAAGTAAGTGTTGGTCCTTTAGAGGACAAAAATGGCGAGGTAATAATGGGAAACTCTGCCAATATTTTCTCTCTGTTTTCACAGTGAAAGATAATAATTTCTTCCCAAAACTGCAGTTACTACAGAGGAACTTGGTGAAATTGCTATAACTATAGTGAAGATATTAAGTAAACTGATGGGATTAAAGGCAGCTAAGTCCCTGGGGCCTGATGGCCTGCAGAGATAGTAAATGTATTAGTTACGATATTCCAAAATTCCCTGAATTCTGTAAAGATACCAGTGGATTGGAAACATGCCAATGTGACACACTTATTCAAAAAAGGATATTGGCAAGAAGTGGGAAACTATAGACCTGTTATTTTGACCTCTGTAGTGGGGAAGTTGCTGGAGTTGACCATAAAGGAGGAGGTAACTGAACAATTGGAAAAACCAAGTGCAATTCACAGCTTCATAAGGGGCAGGTCATACCTGACACACTTGCTGGAGTTCTTGGAGGATGTAACCAGCAAGATGGATAATGGGGATCTGGTGGACTTCCAGAAGGCATTTGACAAAAAGTGTCACATAAAATACTGATCCAGAAGGTTAGATTCTAGGGATTTAAGGGTAAAGTATTGGTTTGGATAGAGGATTGGCTGACAGAAAGCAAAGGGTTGAAATACATGGGTTCCTTTCTAGATGGTGAACTGGAACTACGAGGGTGCTGCAGTGTTCAGTACTTGGACCTCAACTTCTTTCATCGATATGGATAATCTGCAAGCAGGAACAGAGTGTAACATGGCAAAATAAGCGGATGATCCTAAAATAGGTGGGAAAGCAGGCTGTGATGAGGAGATCAAGAGTTTACAGATGGATATTGACAGGTTAGGACAATGGGCCAGAATCTGACAGTTGGAGTTTAATGTGGATAAGTGTGAGGTTGTCTATTATGGTCGAAAAAATAAAAGGGCAAATTATTATTGAACTGGGAAGCAGATTCAAAGTGTGTCAGTGCAGAAAGATCTTGGCATCTTTGTGTATGAATCACAAAAAATAGGTATGCAGGTGCAGCATATAACAAAGGCAAATGAAGTCCTGGCATTTATTGCAAAAGGACTGGATTATCAAAATAAATAAGTGTTGTTACAGTTTATAAAGCATTGGTGAGACCGCACCTGCAGTGTTGTGTCCAGTTTTGTCTCCTTACCTGAGGAAGGATGTGGTGACAGTGGAGGCAGTTCAGAGGAGGTTCACCAGAATGATTCCAGAGATGAAAGGGCAATTGTATGAAGAAAGGCTAAATAGCTTGGGCTTGCACTCGTTCGACATCAAAACAATGACGGGGATCTGATTGAAGTATATAAAATACTAAAGGGGATTGACAGGGTGGACGTTGAACAGATGTTTCCTCTTGTGGGATAGTCTTGAACAAGAGGTCATAGGTAGAGAGTGAGAGGAGGTAGGTTCAAAACTGAGATGAGGAGAAACTATATCTGAGGATTGTGAATCTGTGGAACTCCCTGCCCCAGAGTGCAGTGGAGGCAGAATCAATCAAAAGATTTAAGAAAGAAATAGATATGTTTATGATGAAAGGCAGGATAAAGGGCTGTGGGGAGCAGGCAGGAAAGTAGAGTTGAGGCCAGGAGAAATTCAGCCATGATCATGTCAGATGGCGGAGTGGGCTCGGAGGGCTGAATTGCCTACTCCCGCTCCTAATTACTGTGTTTCTCCTCACTTGTTGGACAAATCAACCAGGTCATGCTTCATCACCAGTCAGAAAATAATTGCAAGTCATTTAATGTCTTTGCTGATTTCAGAGTAAACTGAATGAATTATATCAAAAGTTGCATGTTAACTTTGTTAGTCTTTCACTGTCTTGTATGCATGCCAATGCAGAGCATGCAAAAGAGAAACAAATTGGGAAATATCAAATTAAAGCCAAGAAATTTGGAGCAACATCCAGCACTATAGCTCAGAACAATTTATACATTGAAATAGTTATCACAAATAGAAGTTATATTTTGTTGTTTGCAGGTTTTTTTTTTGTCAAGCTGTTTGCCAGTTTTCTGAAAAAGGGAAAATTCTATCTCTGCTATTTCTACTTCGAACTGGAAGAAGCTAGAAGTTCACTATGTTTAACTAAGGTCCAGTTTGGTGAAGAAATTAGAAAAACAAATATTATAAGAAACCTGCAAGGCTCAGAGGGAATTGCAGGACTGGAAATGTTATAAAACTTATCCACAAAGTGTGTAACAGTAAGGAATGATATATGATTTAATTTCAGTTTATTCAATGATACAGTAGGTAAGTTTAGGTCTTAGCATGTTTGTTACTGGTATTCCTTATTCTATGAAATATTGCCAGTGAAAGGTCTCATACATAAAATAGCAGCTCTGATTTCTCATTCGGTTATTCTATGAAAAAGATTGCTTTTTTGTTTAAAGTATTCCCCCCTTTTATAGAAAAATAATTATACTTTTACCAGATATTTATTTGACTAGTTTTTAAAAACAAGAATTTAGAGGTCCTCAAGTAGGTTCTCCCTCATTAATTGCAGGGGATGGCCAAATGCATTTCAGAAGGGCTCCATTGCGAGCAGCAGGGTACTCAAATTCAGACAAGCCTGAGGGTGACACTGGAGGTGCCTGACCTTGAGAAATCCGCTACAGATTGGAGAATTTATATTCCCAGTAGTATAGTATCCCAGGTTGGCACTACAATTGACATGTTTCAAAAAAAAAAGAAAATCATGGTAAGAGCATAATTTTCTTGTGTGAAAAGGAGTACATCAAACAAAAAAGGATTTCTATTTTTCCTACCACTTTAACTCCTTTAGAAATACTCACCAAAGAAATATTTCACTAATTATACATAGATAATAAGAAGAGCCAACGAAGAAGAAAAGGTCCTCTGCCTTGTACGTGAGCGTGCTGGTCATCACTGTCAGAATGCAGTTGTTATTATTCTTATACTTGCATGGGAAGGTATTCCTCGAGCTTTTGGGGACAAGCTGTATGATGAACTCACAGAGACTTTAACGAAGTATGGGAATCCTACATGTCGCCGGTGTGGATTGAATGATGAGTAAGTTTACTTATTTAGCTTTATTTACTTCAAGAGCCTCTCATTGTTCCTTAATTTTAGTTGAATATTTCAAATGAACAAAGTCTCCCATCAGCCTTTGGAAAAGTTTTGTTATTTTGACCAAATTCATCAGACAGCACCTTCCAAATTCACAACCACTTCCATTTAGAAGGACAAGGGCAGCAGGTATATGGAAACACCACCAACTTCAAGTTCCTCTCCAAGCCAGTCACCATGCTGACTTGGAAATATGTCACCGTTTCTTCACTGGGTCAAAATCCTGGAATTGTCTCCCTCATGGCATTGTGGGTGAACCCATAGCAGGTGGACTGCAGCGGTTGAAGAAGGCAACTAGGGATGGGCAATAAATGCTGGCCAGACAGCAACGCCCACATCCCACAAATGAATACATTAAAAAACTATGTTACAATGAGCCTGCTGACCACCCAATTTATCTTCATGACCACACATTAGCTGATATTGCAAATGGTTCCCTTTTTCTCAGCCACTGACCTGTCCCTTTCAAAGCTACTATTAATCTTTACTCAAAACACCTATCATTTGCTCATTTGATCTTGCTAAATGTCTTCCAATCTTCAAACTTGATTTCTTCTCCAAAATCCATTATTGTGTTCCCACCTCTGAAGTTTCAACCCAATTTTCCTGCAACTGCATACATTAATCTTTCTGATCAGATTTTCACCATTGCAACAGCATCAGAACAAACATAGCTAATAACATCCTTTTGGTTGCACCTATAATGTATTCATATTCCTTGTTATCTGTGTCCACATTTAGTGAACGTCAATACAATTCTCATCCAATGCAACTCTTCCATTGTCCATTTCAATTGTAATGGCCTCAGTCCACTCTTAATAATTTGATTGCTTCCCTAGGGGAAGATGTCATATTAAGTAATGTGGAGCAAGCTCTTTAATCAGCAGACGAGACCCACGATCACCTGGATTAAATCACACAAGGCGTTATTGCACATCAAGTTTGACGTATACAAGTACATATCCTTATTGCAAGTCCCCTCTTTATTAACCAGAGAGGAGCATTCTTTCAGTTATTTCTTTAATTTATTTATTTCTGTGGAATGAGATCTTTAGATCCATAGGTCCTGAGAATCTTCAACTGTCAATCCCATGAATTTCTCTAATATTTTTAAAAACTAATTTTGTATCATTCCTCATTCTCATTAATTCCTTGGGTTCTTCCATCTTTTTCCATGAATACAATCACAAAATAATTATTTCATATCTCTGCCATTTCCCATTATAAATTCTCCTGTTTCTGCCATTATTGGACCCACACGTGTTTCCTCTTTACATAGCTGTAGAAGCTCTTACATTCCATTTTTATGCTTGTTGCCCTTTTACATTCATGTCTTGTTATCCTTTCTCTTTATCAGAGTCTTGGTCCTCCTTTATCGAATGTTAAAACGTTCCCAAAACTCAGACTTAGCACTTTCCTTTCTCTTTATAGACCTCTTCCTTTGTTTTAACATAATCTTCAACTTCCTTTCTTATCCACAGTTAACAAACTTTTCTTGTTATGGTTTTGTGCCTTAAGGGAATGTATGTTTTTTTGTGAAACATATATTACTTCTTGAAAGACTCACAATTGCCATTTACCATCATACCTTTTCATGTACCTTTTGAATCCATTACAATCAACCTGCACCTCATTCCTTCAGAGTTACCTTTGTTTAGATTTCAGACCCTAGTTCAAAATAAAGCATGTTATTTGAAAACTTAATGGAAAGTTCTGTCACGTTAAGGTAACATTTCACTAACTTTTACAACAAAATTATTAATTAATCTCTCTTCATCACACAGTACTAGATGTAAAATAGCTTGTTCTCCAGTTGCTTCCTCAATACACCGATCTGAAAACCACCTATATACTTTTTAAATTCATTCATGGGATGTGGATGTTGCTGACTACGCCGGCATTTATTGCCCAGTGGGCAATTAAGAGTCAACCACATTGCTGTGGGTCTGGAGTTATATGTAGGCCAGACCAGGTAAAGACAGAAGTTTGTTCCCCTAAAGATCATTAGTGAACGAGATGGGTTTTTTTTTAGTGACAATTGACAGTGGTTTTATGGTCATTATTATACAAATTCCAGAATTCAAATTCCACCATCTGCCACAGCAGGATTGAAACCTGGGTCCACAGAAAATTACCTGGGTTTACTGAATTAATAGTGCAGCGATAGTACCACTGGGCCACCACATCTGTGTTACAGGAACTCATCCTCCACAGTAATGATGTTCATTAGATTTACTCAATATATATGTAGACTGAGATCAGCCATGATTACTGTATTATCCTTGTTATATTGTTATGGACCAGACCAGAACCCCTCAAAATATTTTAAGAAGGTAGCCCAGACCCTAACTTTCTTATTTTAAAGGCGAATGTAAAATGTCTGCTCCAGATACAATGTAACTGGTCAACCTACTTGACGTTAAGAAAAACATGATTTGTTTAAACACTGTAGTTAAAATACAACCAACGAAAGAGGAATTTAGATTAACTTACCTCTATTCAAAAACTTAACAGAGTAATAGATACTGTAACTATTACTAATTAACTGTTCCAATATAGTAACATCCCAGAAACACTCCCCTTGGCAAAAAAGGAAAATTCAGACTCAGATTCTCACATGCAGTTCTCCCATTCGGGAGGAAAACAAAAATCAAGAGAAAATTCAGACAGAGTAGCAGCCAGAAAACATTCAAGTTTCCAACTCTGTTGAGACCCCAATAGCTTCTGAGGCCACTGAAAAATTCTCATTTGTGAGAGCTGAGTTCACCCATTCAAGCTGTTTCAAAAAAAAACCCAAGGCCCCCTGTTTACTCAAGTGGTCTAACCTAGCCAGATCAGTGCTTCTGCTCTACAACGTCTCTTGAAAAAAACCCAGGACAAAATAACCTCATAAAGTGACAGCATCGTCACAATATGCTCCTCAAATTTCCTGGCTTGTCAAGGGAAGGTCAAGTGTGACAAATCTGTTAGAATTCTTTGAGGAGATAATGAGAAAGTTAGACAAAGGAGAGCCAGTCAACACAATCTACTTGGAGTTCTAGAAGGAAGGAGGAGGACATGAAGAGGAGAGGAGGTTGCTAAATAAGAGGTGTTAGAGGCAAGGTACTGGCATGTATAGAGGATTAGCTGACTAGCAGAAGGTAGACAGAGGGGATAAAGGGGTCTTTTTCAGGATGGCAGCTGGTCACTAGTGGAGGTCCGCAGACTCACTGTTGGGACCACAACTATTCATGTTATACATTAACGATCTGGACAAATGAACTGAGGGTATTGTTGCAAAGTTTGCAGGTGACAAAAAGATAGGTGAAGGGAAATTTAGCGTTGAGTAAGTGGGGAAGGCTGCAGAAGGACTTGGGTAGACTACCAGAGTGGGCAATATACAACATGAGAAGGTGGGAGGTTATGCACTTTGGTACGAAGAATAGAAGTGTAGACTACTTTCTAAACAGGGAAAAGCTTCAGAAATATGAAGCATAAAGGGACTTGGGAGTCCTGGTTCAGGATTCTCTTAAGGTTAACAGTTACGACAAATGCAATGTTAGCATTCGTTTCAATAGGACTAGAATACAAGAGCAAAAACATACTACCAACGTATAAGGCTCTGGTCAGATGGCATTTGTGAATATTGTGGGCCCTATAGCAAAGGCATGATGTGCTGGCAGAGGATGCAGTCCAGTGGAGGTTCACAAGAATGCTACCAAGGATGAAGGACTTGTCATATGAGGAACAGTTCAGGACTCTGGATCATACTTGGTGAAGTTTGGAAGAATAAAGGGTAATCTCATTGAAACTTGGAGAATACTGAGAGGCCTGGATAAGTGGACGTGGAGAAGATGTTTCCACTAGTAGGAAAGACTAGGACCTGTGGGCATAGCCTCCAGAGTGAAGGGATAACCCTTCAGAACAGCAATGAGGAAGAATTTCTTCAACAAGAGGCGTAGTGAATCTGTGGAACTCACTGCCGCATAAGGCTGTGGAGGCCAAGTCATTGAATGTATTTAAGACAGAGACAGCTTCTTGATTAGTAAGGTGGGGGGGGGGGGGGGGGGGGGGTGGGGGGGGGTGCGGGTGTCAAGGGTTACAGGACAATGGGGTTGAGAAACATATCATCCACGCAGAGCGCACCGGATGGGCCGATTTGACCTAATTCTGCTCCTATATCTTATGATCTTATAGTCTATTATACATGTACCATGCTATGCATAGACAGTACCATTTGGTACCCTGTAAACACTTCCTACGAATGGTTCCTGGTCTTTGGAGTTCCTAAGGTCCATCCAAACAGATTCTACATGTCGTTCTTACAAACTAAAATCCTTTCTCATCAATGAACTGATCCCATCCCTTAACACCACTACCCCATCTCATTTTCCTTTTTGCCTGTCCTTCCTGGAGGTTGAACATTCTTGAAGATTTGGATACTAGTCTCTGTAATGACAAATAGATGGATCTGTTTGTTTCAATTTGTTTGCTGCTGTCTTCCACTTTTGTTCACCAGTTTTCTACTTCCCATCACAAGAATTGTTTATTTTTTTAAATCTGAATTTCCTCTCAGATTCCTATCCCTCTGGGAAACTAATCTAAATACTCCAAAATACACAAACCTGTTTTTGAGGATGTAGTCCCAGGCTTTTTGGGTATAACCTGTTTCCCTTATATAGATCACATATGTCCAAGAACCAATCCCAGTACCTCAGATATGAACCCCTCTCTCTAACATGATTTCTTATGTGTCCATTCTCTCAATCTTAGTACTTCTTTACTCATGACCATGTAAATCATCTTCTTTTGACCTTTCATCATTGGTTCCAAGGTAGATTACAACGCCTGGCTGTTCACCCTCCCTCAAAACAATTGGCTTGCAGCTGCTTGGTGACATCCTTGACCCCTGTACCAGGGATGTAACATACTATCCAAGAATTGTGTCTCAGGCTGCAAATATA